ACATGAAGCATTAGACCCCGACCGCTACAACCCTGGCAGACTGACCATACCAAAAATCTCAAACAACGCAGTCATGCGCTGCAGCGACTATGGCGCAAAACCAGATCCCAGCAAGTGTTCACCCGATATAAATCTGCCTTCCTCACCTACACTTCCTGCCTTCACGCTGCCAAGCAAGCCTGCTTTGTTACCCTCATAAATACCTTCTCCTCCAGTCCTCACCGACTCTTCTCTACTTTTAACTCTCTACTCTCTCCGCCCCCACCTCCACCCAGTACCTCACTCACCGCTCACGAGATTGGTAACCACTTCAAAAACAAGATTGAGCAGTGGCGATGTCCCTACGTTTTGCATCGGACTTCCACCCCACCTAGCATCCCTCACACAAAAACCCCCTCAATACTCCTCTCCTTCGACCTCGCCACTGCCCAGACTTCCACCCCACCCAGCACTCCTCACATCAAAACCCCCCCTCAACACTCCACTCCTTCGACCCTGCTACCACTGAAGAGGTCACTAAGGTCTTCTCTGAAGCCCGCCTCACCACCTGCCCCCTTGACTCTGTCCCCTCACAACTCCTACGATCACCCTCTTCCTCCATCCTATGCTCCCTCACTCACATCTTTAATCTTTCCCTCTCTACTGGCACATTCCCCTCCCCTCCCCTCTAAAGCATGCGCACATCACTCCCATACTTAAGAAACCCTTCCTGGATCCCACCGACCTGAACAACCTTAGACCCATCTCCCTGCTGCCATTTACATCCAAACTCCTAGAGCGCCTGAGTCTATAATCGCCTGAGTTCCCACCTCACTGACAACAACCTCCTTGATCCCCTACAGTCTGGCTTCCACCCCCTACACTCCATCGAAACTGCGCCACTCAAACTCACCAACGAACTGCTAACTGCCAAAGCTAATGGCCACTATTCAGTGCTCCTACTCCTCGACCTCTCTGTGGCTTTCGACACGGTTGACCAGCCCCCCTCCTCCTCAAAAAACTATACTCTCTCAGCCTTAGAGACTCTGCTCTCTCCTGGCTCTCTTCCTATCTATCACAGCGCTCCTTCAGTATTACCTATAATGCTGCCACCTCCTCTTCACTCCCCCTCTCTGTTGGGGTCCCTCAAGGTTCTGTCCTCGGGCCCCTTCTCTTCTCCATCTACACCTCCTCCCTTGACCAATTGATACACTCTCACGGCTTCAACTACCATCTCTATGCCAACGACACGCAAATCTATCTCTCTACCCCTCACCTCACCCCTTCAGTCTCCGCCCGTATCACAAGCCTACTGAACGACATATCGGATTGGATGTCACTCCACTTCCTCAAACTAAATCTTTCCAAAACCGAGCTCCTAGTTTTCCCCCCAGCCCACGCCCCCCCCCGACTTCTCCATCAAGACAAACAACACCACCATCAGTCCCACCCCGCAAGCCAGAGTACTAGGTGTCACCCTAGACTCCAATCTGTCCTTCCAGCCCCAGGTCCAATTGCTGACAAACTCATGCAGACTTCACCTTCGGAACATCTCCAAAATACGTCCGTTCCTAACCCCAGAAACCACTAAGAAACTCATTCACTCCCTTATTATATCACTACTTAACTACTGTAACTCCCTCCTCATCGGCTTACCCCACCGCAGGCTATCCCCGCTTCAGTCTATCCTGAATACTGCGGCCAGACTCATCCACCTTACTAACCATTCCGTATCCGCCACCCCCTTCTGCCAATCCCTCCACTGGCTTCTGATTGTCCAATGGGTAAAATTCAAAATGCTAACATTGACGTACAAAGCTGTTCATAATACTTCCCCAAACTACATCACCGATCTGGTATCCAAATACCACCCAAAACGTACTCACCACTCCTCACAAGACCTCCTACTCTCTAGTTCTCTGGTCTCCTCCTCCCATGCCCATCTCCAGGACTTCTCCAGGGCTTCCCCCATCCTCTGGAACTCCCTACCCCAATCCATCAGACTATCACCTACTCTCCCCACCTTTAGGCACACTCTGAAAACCCATCTCTTCAGGGAAGCCTACCCCGCCCTCAGTTGATTGCCGATCTCCTCCACTCTTCCTACCACTCCATCCCCCACAGCTATTTTCTCCTGTACCACTATCCCCTCCCTCCTAGATTGTAAGCTCCAAGGATCAGGGCCCTCAAAACCTTGTGTATTGAATTGTATTGTTACTGTACTGTCTTGTGTACTGTCTCCCATTATAATGTACAGCACTGAGAAAACTGTTGGCGCTATATAAATCCTGTATAATAATAATAATAATAATAATAATAAAAGGTGGTGGGTCATTGTGACTGATGATGTTCTACATGAGTTGAAGTTTGATTGAGATTGGATTTACATCAGGGCACATTATTTACCTTTCTTCTTGAAGGGGAGGGTAGCAAAAGATTTTTTAACAGTGTAAGTGTCTTTATTTACTTTTTATTCTGGTGGGGGATAAGTAAGAGGGCTACTAATAAAGGGTACCTATTTCTGTTGGGGGAGGGCCAGGTAACCACATGCTTGATGTGCTTCCTTTACTGGCCTCTCAGGCTAGATAAATGCTTGGTGTAAATTTTAGGGGGAATATTTGGTTCAATATTTGGTCAATCATGCCACCCAGGATTCCCAGCTGGTTTTCTAAACAAACAGTACCCAGGTGGGGATCTGTTATTTAGCAGCATTGCTAAATGACAGTTCCATGGCCTATTTATTTTCAAGAAGAAGTTGGGGAATCATGCAGGCAAGCTGCTGGCCTGTTTTGGGCTTTCCCAAACTGCTAACGGCCTGTGTTCAGGTCCAACAGATGCTTTGTGTCTATACGTTTGTTCCAATCTTCTTTAGAACACCAGGGTAATTATGCAGATACCAATGATCTTTCTTCCACCTCATCTACCTTACTAATAGCACCTAAATTTAATCAGTGGCTTCAATAGCCAAGAATGAGATGCAGGAGAGATAAGGCAGATCTAGTGACCACTGAATGCTAAATAATGGAGTAAGTTGGTAAAGTTTGTGGACAAAGTTCTAAATTTCTTTTATGTCTCCATCCCAAGCTGTTCATCAGACATCTATGCAGATATTTACATAACATTCAGAGTCTGCTACCACTGCAAGAAGCTGTCATGTTGTCATGCTCCTGGCAGGTATACATTTTTAGGAAAGTTTGAGCAGGCTCCATATTGGTACAAAGTCTGCTTACTCTTCATCTGAAATAGTATTGGTACTCAAAATTGTACAGCATTTACATCACCTTCACACAAGCTGTATTACTGAGAGATGATTTAGTTGAATGCAATATGTTAACATAAGATTAACAGAACCAATGGCTTATCTAGCATAAGTGGCAACCCTAGGCCTGCCACCCCACCCCCCTCCTCCCAAAAAAATGGTATGAAGAAGTAACGCAGTGTGCCCAGCAAGTGTCATCAAATACCATTAACAGTGGGATGGGCTTGAAGGAGCACAGTTAAATAAAACCTAAGCCTACTACCTTATACTCAGCACACATATGCCACAGTCCTTTTATCCACAAAATATGCTTTAATGACTGTGCCACAAGCAAGAGTCTAAGGGGTCATTCAGACTTGGTCTCTGAAGAGTGATCCACATTTGGAGAGCATTTGATAGGCTTTGTATTGCCTCCTTACTGCCTGCTTTAACCTCTTGAATCCTGCATTAGCGCGCAGTAACCTTATGCATTGCATGGGGTTGTGGGATGTTTGCAAGCAGCACAATTCACTTGAGCGTTCTATATTCAGCAGGCTCTACTGACAGGGGGTAAAGTTCCTGCAATGGCATGTGTACACGCGCGGGCTAAAAGAAAAGCAGTTGGGGGTGGAAAAACAAGGCTCAAATACAAGGTTTTTCCACTCCCCAACCGCTAGTGTGAGCAAGTCCTAACAAGCACTGAAGCTGAGTACAAATCTCAGCATGCTCACTTTAATAAAATGAAACCTTTCCATCACGCATCTTTTTCCACACACAGCAAATCTTAATATACTTAGAGTGCAGTGGTCAAGAGTATAAAACATAAACCACAGTGAGGGGAATTTATCAAAACTGGAGCAGAGCAGAAAATTAAACTGGAAAGAAAGGGAAAGGAGAGGAGGAAAGGAAAAAGGAGAGGAGAGGAGATGTACATCTATTCCAGATTCTGGCTGCTCCAGTTTAAATACATTTTCTACATTTTGACAGTGCAGGGGTCAGGAGTGCAAAGCTCATCATCCCCAGGACACAAAAAAACCACCCCCTCTTCCCAGTACAAATCAGTACAAATCCCCAAGCCCATACAAAAAAGAAATGTCAGGCGACTGCAGCACCCCAATGAGACACAAAAAAAGATTCACCTCCTCTTCCCAGTACAAATCATCCTTCAAGCCCATACAAAAAAGAAATGTCAGGCTACTGCAGACCCCAATGAGATACACAAAAAAAAATCACCCCCTCTTTCCAGTACAAATCATCCCTCAAGCCCACATAAAAAAAATGTCAGGCAACTGCAGCACCCCAATGAGACACAAAAACAAATTACCCCCTCTTCCCAGTACAAATCATCCCCAAGCCCATACAAAAAAGAAATGTCAGGCGACTGCAGCACCCAATGAGACACAAAAAAATCACCCCCTTTTCCAGTACAAATCATCCCTCAAGCCCATACAAAAAAGAAATATCAGGCAACTGCAGCACCCCAATGAGACACAAAAACAAATCACCCCTTCTTCCCAGTACAAATCATCCCCCAAGCCCATAACCCCCTTTACAGATCTCCCCTAACATCCCTAAATATACATTTCCAGCCTACCCCCTCAGTAAGAATCCCCCAATACAAACCCCTCAGTACAGACTCCCTTTCCAATACAGTCCAATCCCCCCAGCACACACTTCTAAGTACAGACTGACTCTCCCCCAGGGGCGGACTGATCATTTGGAAACTCGGGCACTGCCCGAGGGCCCGGGGTCAGTAGGGGGCCCCATGAGATGCCCCTGGTACCTTTTTCATAGGCTTTTTTGAGTTTAGGCAAGGACACAGGGGCCCCATGATCCCCTATTGCCCGGGGGCCCCATGAGTTGTCAGTCCGCCCCTGCTCTCCCCCCTACTATTCTAAATCCCCCCAGTACAGACACCCTCCCCAGTACAGACCCCCCCCCAAATGTACAGAGTACAGGTCCCTCTGTACAGAAACACCAGAACAGACACCTCCCTACACTCCTAGAGAAGGAGCTCAAAGTGAGGGGAAGTTTGGCGCAGGGGAGGAGAGTGATGGGCAAAGCAGGGGAGGGCTTTTCTTTTACACTGAGCTCCACTATCACTGAAGCTGCATGCGTTGGCTTGCTGGGAGTGTGGCAGCTGCCTGGCATTTCTGATTTGTTTTGCAGGGTGCTGCAATGGAAGAAATAGCAGTGCAGTGCCATACAACACACAACAAAAAAGAAATGCCAGACAACTGCAGCACTCAAATGAGTCTGCACCCAGTATGGATAGCACACTCACACAACTGAACAAAAAATACACTTTTGTGTATCTTTAAATGTTTTTATTTCACAAATAATGTGTACAGCCAGAAAGACTGTAAAAGTAACACTGACAAAATTGTGATAATGAAAACAATGATTTGGAACACCAGAAAAAAAAATGTGTCATTTACTTCTAAAGGTTATTTATTCAGTTCCTGCTATAATAAAAGGTTTGCTTTGGTGCAGCACTGTGAATGCTGTTACAGCATGTGTAGGAGGTGTGTAAGCTATAAGAGGAAATCAACACCTTAGTCAAGCAGACTATAATCTTATTAAGTCATCTTTACATTTATGGATTGCATAAACCTGTCAAAACTTTAGCAAAAGATTTGCATTTATTAGAGACAAGCAGATTTTTAAATCTTACTGTAAAACATTGAGTGTAATTGCTAGATGCACTTTTTACTGGCTAAACTTGAAACCAATTCTTCTTAAGTGACCTTTTAAAAAGTCGTTAGCGAGATACCTAGATTTGGGTTGAACAAAGTATCATTGCGATGTTAATGACTTTTTCATGTCTTGTTTTGTAAGTTTCCTGCACTTTCTAATATAGGCTGATGCCAGATACTCAGTTTCAGCATTGTGTTCAACAGTGGCACTCTGTCAAAGTTCTTAGCAGTGCCTTGAAAGAATTGGATCTGTGGCTTTGTCTTTTCACATAAATGTAGTTTTTTTTCAGCCAGTGTGACAGCACTATGGATATTTCATAGCACAGCTGTTTTAAAGATGTATTTTTAGTGAATATTCAAGCTTCTCAAATAGCTACAGTAACTCCTTTTGCTTAAATACTAAACATTGTTGCATTGCCTCTTCATTGGTCACATGACTAGGTATCACATGAATGACAATTTTGCCTTATTACCAAAAAAGTTAAATATTTCAGGTCTCCCATTACTGCTGTTTGAAAACTTTAAGGATTAAACACACTTTGCACATTACTACATAATGAACATTATTCTGGCATAGCAAGAAATGACTTCTATACATGTCAACAATTAATATTTTGGCTTTCAAAGTTTAAACAGGTGTACAAATGAAAAATCATGACAAAATTAAAACTAGAGTTAATTATAAGAAAAAAGAGCTTTGTCCGATTACAACAAGCAGGCATTTTATAGTTGGTGGTAATTATACACTTAAGCAATGCAATTGGACATCCAGCACAATACAATTCCTCTTTTCCTCTCAGGAACTTGATTGTGCCTAATTGGAAGCTGAAAAACATCTGCTTCTGTGTTCTTTTGTTTGTGTGTTAAAAGTTTTAAATTGATTTTTACAAACAACCAGATTTTCTTGGCTCCTGCGAGACTTCATACAAAATGGATTTTTAATTCTGAGACAGCGTATTGTGATTAAATATCCCTTTGAGCTTCATATTTCTGTTTTTGTAGCAGAAACTATACTCAAGTCTCTTTATAGCTCCAGTGAGAAAAATATTATGGCATAATTTTCACATACAAATGTAGCACTCTTTATAACTACTGTAAATCATGAGCTAAGAAAACTTTTGAACAGCTGGGATCCTTCTGTAATCTCCGTGCTAAATGAGTCGGGATATAAATTTGTATGTACAATGATCCCTTAAAACAGTTTTATATACAGTAGCACTCTATGGCTTTGACAGTTGCAAGTGGCCATTAGATACATAAAATTAATATGCTATTGAGATTTAGTGATGCAAAGTAGCTATTTCAGTATTGGCATTAAATGGGTTTAAAAGGAAATAAATGAAAATATATTGATTAAATACGGAATGTTAACATGTATCATTATAGCCATCTGTTTTTGGTAGAGGAACCTGCTTAAATGTATGTTTTCTAGGGGCCCTCATTACATTCTCCTGCTGTCATTCATTATTTATATTTCCAGTCAGTACTGTCTTCAGGATAGGCGTGGGGTGATTTGCTGGTCCAAGAAAGGCAGAGTCTGTTGTGCAGAAATGTGTGAGCCAAAAAATGCAAGAGCAAGACACACCTAGCCTAACCCTTTTGTGCCCAGAGGTCATTGATGCCTAGATGTGACAAGATGCTTTAGCATACTGACCTTATTTTTATTATTATCATTACAGGTACTTATATAGCGCTGTCAATTTACGCAGTGCTTTACATATCTATTGTACATTCACATCAGTCCCTAACCCTCAAGGGTTGTACAATCTAAGGTCCCTAACTCACATTCATACATACACATACTAGGGACAATTTTAGTTAGGAGCTAATTAACCTACCAGCATGTCTTTGGAGTGTGGGACGAAACCCACGAAGGCACATGGAGAACATGCAAACTCTGGGCAGCTGGTGCCAGGGTTGGGATTTGAACTGATGACCCTAGAACTGCCAGACAGAAGTGCTAACTATTTAGCCAATGTGCTTCCCGTGTTTTTAAGAACATATAAAGCTCTTATTTGGTACCTTGCTTAGAAAAAAAAAATGCATACTAAAAAAGGTTTCTGTTTTACTTTATATTTTGTTTTATTGTTTTTTTTGGGTTTTTTTTTTGTTTGTTTTTTTGTTTTTAATACTGTAATCTGATAAATATAGCAAACTTGCATGTGATCTCTATGCCAGAGCTGACATCACATGATCGAGAATTAAGCTGATTGGACTCAATGTTGACTGGTGGCTCTCAAATCAAAAACATGTATAAATTTAACCCCAGCAGAGGGCATTCTGCTGGGGATTGTTTATATACAGAGTGGACAGGAAGGGGTTCATTTGCTACATTACCACTGAAATATAATCATAGATATTTCAAATATGTTTAACAGATTTTTAAATACTCATCTGACATCATGTATTTTAAAAGCACACTGTAATTACACAGCTTTTGACACCCAAATTAACTTTTTATTAGAATTGCCATTATGGAAATCATGTAACTATATGTTTATAACTATAAAAAGAAAATCTTAAATGTCTCTGCTTCATATACGTACATGCCTACTGTGTTGTAAAGATAAATCTTATATTGGAGCAAATGCTACCATTAGCACAAGATTAAAAGTTTGTTGCTGATGTTGAAGTCAGGGACAATGGAGTAGAATTTATTCATCTTCATTGCTTTGGAACTAAATAGGGTCACTTGCATAGTGCCATTTGCACTTTGCAGCTTCTTTTTGGGTAAATGGGGGGCTTAGATGCAGCAGTAAGATAAACCCCGGTAAGTTTATTCTAAAGAAAAAAAGACAGTGCCATAAATATGCCAGCTAAAGAATTTCCATGTTCTTAATGAGCAGTAAAAGCACTTTTTACAAGTCCTCATTTGCCTCTGCAGTTAGAGGCATTGTTGTTGATTTTGATTTTCAAATTCAAAGTTTACAACAAAGGCTCGGAAATCACAGCTACTTTTTTTACTATATAGAGCAGAATCCTAACAGCCTGTAAACTTTCTAATGTAAAGGAACACCAGGTCCTTGTAAGCTACTAGAAAATTACTAAAACCTGAATTTAGAGCCTCTGTTGTGATCGTTTAAATCAATGACTTCACTGTCTATGCAATCTAGCAAGGTCAACAATGGCTCATTTTGAAGTTTTTCACTGTTTGTTAAGAATATGTAAATACTTTAATGTCAATTGTCTAGAAACAAGTGTGCTTTACTTCAGGGACCTACCTACATGCCCATTCAATGAGACTATTTCCTTCTCAAGCCACACTATTATTTAGCTGTCTTTGTTTTATATGCAGTATGCAACTCTGATATCCTTCTTTTTTCCATTTAGTATCTGTGTATTGAATTTCTTTAACTTTGCATTTGACTTCACTCACAGAGCGATACGACCTTGTTCTCTGCTTGAGTTACTATTGGGTTGTGGATCATAATAATTTCTTTTTGTCATTTTGCACTCTTATGTTTGTTAGGCATATCTTGCGTTTTAGGCTGATGTGTTGTAGGTTTAACATTTCTGGCCTTGATCTTTAGCTGTTCTGATGAACCTTCGATGTTTACCTTTGTTCTTTTTAGGAATTCTCTCTGACTTCTTATTCAGTTTTTTTAAGTGTTTTCTTTTCTATTCTCTATGAAATATTCAGCATCACAGAGCATAGCTAGCTGAGGTATGCTAGTATAGGTTTTATAAAATCTTTCATTTTGCACAAGTCTGGCAAGTAAACATAGCAAAAAACGTCTACCACCAGCACATTCTGCATTTGTATTCTCCAAATTAAGAATTTATAATCTGACACTTCATATCAGAGATAGTTTACAAATGTGATGGGGAGTAAAGGTAATCTGTTTAACCTGTTGTCTCCCATGTAACACATATATGCAGTGGCAAAAGGTTGGGCTTTAATGCCCACATGCCACAGATATGCATCACTGGGTGTTCAATGTTTCTGTGTTGAGAGTGTGCTGACTGAGCACTCCCAGCAAAGATACCGAGCTATCAAAGTGCAAAAATATTATATAAAGTAAGGAGCCTGCAGGTGACCCAAGAAGCTTTAGTCAAATAAACACCTAAAAACAGTTTGGGATAGAAATAGCATTCATGTTGACCCAACTCTGGCTTAGCCCACATTCAGAATTCTTGCATACCTGAATTTAGAGTCTACAG